GAAACCTAACTAAAATGGATTCAGGAGGTTTGGGCAGGGACACTCTTGTCCTAGCATTGGTAGTCAATTGCAGACCCAGCAGGAAGATATTGACTTGACCTTGCATGTGGAAACTACTATTCCAGGCAAAGAACAGACTTTCCTTATCCCCAGGGCAACAGCTCAGCCAATGAGAAGCCACCATACTTTGAACTCCCAGTTTACTCCAGTGGACTTTTAACAGCCTTCCCAACTTAACTCTTTTGTCCTTAAAAAAAAGCTCACCACCTCTCCTTTGTCTCCTGGACTTGCCTAAGGGTTTTGCCTTGGCTCGTGATTGTCTTTTATTCCTAAATAAACCTATCTTTTGCTGATAAAATATTCAATAAAGTCAAACAAATCTTCAAATTGACTCAGTTGAATTTTGTGTTGCTTTTTTTTTTTAACAGGGTCTGAAATGCCCAGTGTTTATCATCCACTTGGTTAAGCACAGATCTCAGCCACCATAAAAATGCCTACCCAGGAAATCAACCTCTGAGTACCCCTAGTAAGGCCAAGTCCCATGCCCAGACTTGGTGGAGTACAAAGTCCTTTCCACCAGATTCCTCGTGTTTTCATCTCCAGACCACAGTTTTTCAGATAGCTCTGCAACTTCCCACATCAGGTTCTTTCAGGGACTTTGAGTTTTTTTCTGCATCAATCACACACTCAGGCCGGTGGGCCACACTTGGGAGCCCTCGATCGGATTCTAGACCGAAATTCCTGAAGCGTGGAGACAGGAATTCAGATTCCGCCCGGGCGGCGCCATTTTTTCCGCGCAGTCTGGCTCCAGACTACATTTCCCAGAGGTCCCGCGACCCTACTCAACTTACAGTTTTGAGTTTGTTCCCACGCAAGCTGGACTTTAACCTCCCCGCGGAGAGTAGGGGGAGCCTGTGGTAGGCGTGGCTCTGCTCGGCTTGTTTGGAGCTAACCCTGGAGTGGCTCGAGGTGAGGCAACTTGACCCCTTGGGGAAGCGGAGCGGATGCAAAGCTTCAGGCCGCTGAGCCTGGAGCGGGCTGAGGGGTAGAGGTTGTGGCTGCGGGTGGGTGTGAGTGTGTGACGGTGTGCGGCGCCTGTGACCTTGCGTTTGACAATCATGTCCCCGTGGCGGGTGTATGATTGTGACGTTGTGTGACTGTGTGTGTGTAGGTGCGGGGAGCCCGTGTCTCTGCTGGTATGACTGTGTGTATCCCTGGTGTGGTTCATCTCCGAGAAACCGTGTGTGCGAGTGTGTGGTGCCTACGACAGTACAGGTGTCGTGTGTGTATGCGAGGTGAGTGTGCGATTGTGACCGTGACCGTGGCATTGCGTGTATGGTTATGGAGTGCCTTCGACTGCCACTGTGACTCCAATACTCTGTCCCAGGAGACCCCTGTAACTCAAGACCCATTCTGGTCAGTCCTTCCCTGAGACAGCCTCTTCTGACCTCCCTCCTCTCTTGATGGGAGGAGTGGGACTAAGACAGGGCTTGGGCACCGTTTTTGCCGAAAATTTTAACAAGCAGTCTTAGCGGCAGCCAATTCTGGCTTGAGGTTGAGCAGCCTAGTCTGTGTTGTCTTGGACCATATCAACTTGATTCTGGCTTTAGATCAGGAGAAGTGGGGATGCCTGGGTGGCTCAGTCCATTAAGCGTCTGCCTTCGGCTCAGGTCACGATCCTAGACTCCTAGGATAGAGCCCACATCGGGCTCCCTGCTCTGCGGGAAGCCCGCTTCTCCGTCTGCCACTCCCCCTGCTTGTGCTCTCTCTTTCTCTCTCTGACAAATAAATAAATAAATAAAATCTTTAAAAAAAATTTTCAGGAGAAGTGAAAATATGAAGTAGGTTGTGATGGTGCTTGCAAGTAAGATAATGATGATCAGTGTATTCAAGTGATCTAGAGCAGTAATTATTAAGCTTAGAGCAGTTTCCAGAGTATGAAAATCCCCTTCAAACCGTAAAGTACAACTTCTGCAGCTACTTGATTTTGTGCTTCATCCCCCCACCCCAGTACTTTCCTGAGAATCACAAGGTGGGGGGGAAACATGACCCTCATGCTAAAATAATAATAATAAAAACATTTTTTTAAGTGAAAGACCAGGCCTAAAATCAAAATCTTGGAATGACCTTTAAGGTGATAATATCCAAAAACAACAGTGGGGATATGGTTAAGTTAATCCAGGCCATATCCATGTAATAGAATTTTTTACAATGAATACATATTGTTTTTTTTCGGAGTTTTTTCAGAGTTTGTGTAATTTTTTTAATGTTCTAAAACATGTCGGTGGTATTTGCTTCGGTCACATTGATTTTCTTAATGGCCCATATTCCTGTCACAGGCATGTGTTTACAGCCTATTCATAATTTTCTTACCATATAGGATGCTTCTACCCTATCTCTAATTTTTTTTTCACGAAATAAAAATGACTTTATAGTCTGTTTTTCTGATGACAGTATTACAGACTTAATGAAAAACAATCAGAAACTTGAGATTATAAAGAATCAGATTTAAATTACCTATAATTTCATCATCCAGAAGTACTCATTATTTTCAAGAATGTATTTCCAAATTTTTGCTTGCATGGTTCTATAGTTTAATTGGGTGAGATTACAATACACTTACCTTCTGTTACTTGCCTGCCCCTTCCTCTTCGTGGATAGGCACTATCATAATTAATAATTGTGTTGAATTGTGATCATAATGTATTTTATATATGACATATCAGATATGTCATTTGCAAATATCTTCTCCCATTCCCTGGGTTGCCTTTTAGTTTTGTTGATTGTTTCCCTCGCTGTGCAGAAGCTTTATTTTGATGTAGTCCCAATAGTTTATTTTTGCTTTTATTTCTCTTACCTCAAGAGACCTGTCTGGAAAGATGCTGTTACAACTGATGTCAGAGAAATTACTGCCTGTGGTCTCTCCTAGGATTTTTATGGTTTTAGATCTCAAATTTAGGTCTTTAATTCATTTTGAGTTTGTTTTTATGTAGTAAGAAAGTGGTCCAGTTTCATTCTTTTGCATGTAGCTGTTGAGTTTTCCCAACACCATTTGTTGAAGAGACTGTCTTTTCCCCATTGTATATTCTTCCCTTTTTTGTCAAAGATTAATTTAACAAATTTTAGGAGTGTTTGTTCTAGTTCTGGGAAAAATACTGTTGGTATTTTGATAGGGATTGCATTAAATCTATAAATTGCTTTGGGTAGTATAGACATTTTAACAATATTTGTTCTTCCAATCCATGATATACAGTTGTTCTTGAATGTCATAGACTTTGATGTCTCCTCCCAAAACGGGAAAAATGAAACATGTAGGGAGAGTAAAGGGACTCCGGTCTTATAAATCTGGAGGTCACTTCAGCTGGAGAGGGAGGGGCTTGCAACAAAGAAGGAATTGTAGCACAATAACCTGTTTCTTTGTCTGCATCTCTCTGATCAGAAGCAACAATCCGCAATCAGAGCGGAGATCCCCAATATCTGGAGGACAGGGTCCTTTTCTCTCACCCTGGCTCCTGGAAGCTATGTGCAAGCAACTCTAGGAACACATGCACAGGTGCCTGCCACTTGACTGGGAATGGCCATTGGATATTACTACTTTGCTAAGAGCTGAAATTGACCAAAAGTGACTAGAATTTATTATACAAGCCTTTCTCTGCAAGCCTTCGATAGACTCCAGAGTTTTTGTTTTTTTTAAAAGAGAGAAAGAGCACACACCCAATTGTGGGGTGGGGCGGTGCAGAGGGAGGGGAAGAGAATCTTTTTTTTTTTTTTTTTTAATAAAACCGTTTTTTTTTTTAATTTTTTTTAAAGATTTTATTTATTTATTCATGAGAGAGAGAGAGAGAGAGAGAGAAGCAGAGGGAGAAGCAGGCTCCCAAGGAGCAGGGAGCCCGATGCGGGACTCGATCCCAGGACCCTGGGATCATGACCTGAGTCGAAGGCAGACATTTAACCATCTGAGCCACCCAGGCGCCCGGGGAAGAGAATCTTAATCAGGCTCCACACCCAGCACGGAGACTGACGTCAACAGGGCTCAGTCTCATGACCCAGAGATCATGACCTGAGCCAAAATCAAGAGTAGGATGCTTAATCTACTGAGCCACCCAGGTGCCCCTGACTCCAGAGTTCTAAAAGTTACATCACATTCTGCCAGCACAATTGTCTAGATGAGGAAACAGATTGCTGGTTCTTCCTACTCTGCCATCTCCCAGAATCTGAGATCTTCTATATTTCTTTATTTCAAGAGTGTTCAACGGTACAGTTATAAAAGCTTTTTTTTTTTAAGATTTTATTTATTTATTTGAGAGAGAGAGAATGAGAGAGAGCACATGAGAGGGGTTAGGGTCAGAGGGAGAAGCAGACTCCCTGCTGAGCAGGGAGCCCGATGTGGGACTCGATCCAGGGACTCCAGGATCATGACCTGAGCCGAAGGCAGTTGCCTAACCAACTGAGCCACCCAGGCGTCCTATAAAAGCTTCTTTAAAGGCATTGATAATTTCAACCATCTATGTCATTTTAGCATTTGCATCTATTGGTTGTCTTTGTCCTTACAAGTTGAAGTTTTTCTAGTTCTTTGTATGATGATTTTTTTTTTTTTTTTTTTTGCTGTATGTTTGGAAGGCTGTTCATTCAAGGGGCATAACGCTGGTCCTTAGTGTAGGAGACAGCCATTATGTTCTACATTCCCTCATGTGTCCTTTGTGTTTATGTATGTGAGTAGATGGCATGGGCAAGGAGAGTAGGAATAGGAAGGAGAGTGAAAGTGATAGTTTTTTTTTTCATTTTTATTGTAAAATGTAATAGATGCGGAAAACTGCACAATGTAAACATATAGCTTAATGAATTATTGTACGGCCAATACTCTTGTAGTAATGGGAGTCATATTTAACCTGATGATTCAGAGACCTGCTAGCAAGTCTTATTTCTCACTGCCTTTTCTTTTCCTTCCTTGGTTTGTCTTCTCTGAACCAAGCCTGTCTCCAAGGGAAGAGGGAATAAAGCTGAAGAGAGAAGAAAGAAGAGTAGAACTGAATAGTGCTTATGATCCTGAGTCATGACTGAGGTTATTGGTGTTTTCTCTCTCTTCAGGATTACAATAATTTCTTTCCATGCCATTATATTAGATTTCCTTATCCTGAAACTTTCTTTCACACTGAGCCCCATCCAGGAGTCTGGTTCCAAGCTTCTCCTTTCCAACAGTGGTGGGACACATAGTCCAGAGCCTTGCTCCATACCATTCTCTTCTTTTTACACCTTTACATACTCATTCAATGAATCAGTTGGCAACCTTGTGCTCAGTCTTTTAATAGGAGCACTTCCCTCAAGGAACCAGGAAGTCATCCCTCATCAGATTTGAGGTTTAGTGAAGTAGAGATATATGAATTTCATAAATAATATATAACTTTGTTTTTCAGCAAGCAGTGATGTTCAGAGATGTGGCTGTAGACTTCTCACAGGAGGAGTGGGAATTTCAGGACTTGAAGCAGAGGAACTTGTACAGAGATGTGATGTTGGAGAACTACAGCCACTTGGTCTCATTGGGTAAGGATGCTCCCCCCAACCCCCAGTAATTAAGATTCCGCTTTATATACAGACCTGTGTATAGACAACTTTTGTATATGCATATAGGATAGTTTTTTTTTTTAATTTACACAACAGTACATAAAAGTAGTTGATACTGAAAAAAACTCTTCTACCTAGAATGCCTCCATCCTCTGCTGTAAATTTTCTGGATGCCATTCTGACTTTCTGCTTCTGAACAGAGCAATTTGAACTTTGTAGAACTGGAAATGGGCAGTCCTTTTGTACTGTGGCTAAAGCTTCATCTTCCCCACCCTTTAGACAATCTTGACATATTTCTCTGAGTTTTCCACTTCTTTACCAAGGAATTGGGTCTGAAGTTTGGATATCCTTGGCATAACTAAGTCCTATTTCCATTTTTGTTGTTGTCAACAGGACTCTCTCTTTCTAAACCAACTTTGATTTCCTTTTTGGAACAAGATAATGAGCCTTGGATTGTTGAGAAAGAGTCACCAAAAAGCCTATACCCAGGTAGGTGAGGGAAACTTAGAGAGGGGGAAGCTGCTGCAGGAATAGACCACCTGCTCAGTGAGATGATAGCCCTTAGGCAAGACTGTCCAGAATGTTCTTCAAAGAGGGAGGTGTCCTCTTTTTTTCCCCAGTGACAAGTGTTCTGGCTATAATTTAGATCCAGTTATTTCCCTGTTCCTCTTTCTCTTTTGGTCTTGTATAGTTTCTCCATCTTCTGATGTATGTATTCTTTTCTCTAAATATTACTCATATTATTTTAGCTACTTTCCAGTAATCTGCCCCCCTTTCTTTACTAGTTTCTCTCTCTTCTTTTGAAAGATTTTACTTATTCAAGAGAGAAACAGAAAGAGCATGAGCAAGGGGAGGAGCAGAGAGAGAGAGAGGGAGAGGGACAAAGCAGACTCCCCACTGAGCCAGGAGCCCAATGTGGGGTTCAATCCCAGGACCCTGAGGTCATGACCTGAGCTGAAGTCAGATGCTTAACTGACTAAGCTACCCAGGTGCCCCTACTAGTTTCTCTTTGATTCAATGTTTTATTTATTCATTTTTTAATTTCTCAGATTATAGAATATGTTCATTTTTCTATTGTGGTAGGAAAAAACAACATACATAACAATTTGCCGTCTTAACCATTTTTAAGTGTTCAGTATAGAATTAATTATGCATATAAGTTGTCCAACAGAGCTATAGAATTTTTTCATCTTGCAAAATTGAAACTCTATACTCATTAACAGTCACTCCCTTTCCCCTCCTCCTTATCACCTGGCAACCATTTTACTGTCCGTTTCTAAGAGTTTGACTGCTTTAGATATCTCATATAAGTGGAATCATGCACTCTTTGTCTTTTTGTGACTGGGTTATTTCACTTCACATAATGTCCTCAAGGTTCATCCATATGAAGGTTGTAGCATATGACAGGTTTCCTTTTTAAGGCCAAATAATATTCCATTGTATGTATATACCATATTTTCTTTATCCATTCTATTGTCAGGACATTAGGTTACTTCTACTTCTTGGCTATTGTGAATAATGTTGCAATGAACATGGGTGTGCAAATATCTCTTCAAAATCCTGTTTTCAATTCTTTTGGATATATACCCAGAAGTGGAATTGCTGGATCATATGGTACCTCTATTTTAATATTTTGAGAAACCTCTATATTGTTTTCCATAGTGGCTGCACCATATAACATTCCCACCCACAGTGCATGAGGGTTTCAATTTCTCTACATCTTGTCAACACTCATTATTTTCTGTTCTCTTTTTGATAGTGGCCATCCTAATGAATATGAGGTTGATATCTTGTTATGGTTTTGTTTTGCATTTCCCTGATGATTAGTGATACCTTTTCATGTGCTTGTTAGCCATTTGTATTTCTTTTTTGGAGAAATGTCTATTCAAGTCCTTTGCCCACTTTTAAATCAGATTGGGTTTTTTTTTTAATTGTTGTTGAGTTGTAGGGATTCTTTGTGTATTCTGGATATTGACTCCTTACCAGGTATATGGTTAGTAAATATTTCTCCCATTCCGTGACTGCCTTTTCACTCTCTGGACTGTTTCCTTTGTTGTGATATTTTTAAGTTTGATGTAGTCCAATCTTTGTGTTTTTACTTTTGGTGTCATATCCAGGAAATCATTGCCAAATGCAATGTCATGAAGCTTTCCCCCTATGCTTTCTTCTAGGAGTTTTAAGTTTCAGGTTTTATCTTTAGGACTTTAGTCCATTCTTAGTTTATTTTTGTGTATGGTATAAGGTAAGGATCCACCTTCATTCTTTTGCATGTGGATATCCAGTTTTCCCAGCACCATTTGTTGAAGAGACTGTCCTTTCCCTGTTGGGTAGCTGTGACATCCTTGTTGAAAATCATTTGATGATATATGTAACTCATTTATTTATTTTTGCTAGCCTACTTATCTTTTTAAGTTTTTATTTAAATTCCAGTTAGTTGGGAGGGAGGCAAGATGGCAGTAGAGTAGGGGACCTCATTTCATCTGGTCCCTTGAATTTAGCTAGATAACTATCAAAGCATTCTGAACATCCGTGAATTCAGCCTGAGATATAAATTCCAGTTAGTTAACATACAGCGTAATGTTAGTTTGAGATGTACAATTTAGTGATGCAACACTTCCATACAATACCCAGTGCTCATCACAACAAGTGCACCCTTTAGTCCCCATCACATATTTAACCCACTCCTCCACCTGCCTCCCCTCTGGTAACCATCAGTTTGTTCTCTATAATTAGGAGTTGGAAATGGCTAAAACTAACAACACAAGAAACAACAGGTGTTGGTGAGGATGTGGAAAAAGGGGAACACTTTTGCACTGTCGGTGGCAATGCAAACTGGTACAGCCACTCTGGAAAACAGTATGGAGGCTCCTCAAAAAGTTAAAAATAGAACTACCATATGATCCAGCAATTGCACTACTGGGTATTTACAAAAATACTAATTCTAAGGGATACATGCACCCTGACATTTATAGCAGTATTATCTACAACAGCCAAATTATGGAAAGAGCCCAAATGTCCATGAGCTGATGAATGGTTAAAGATATGGTATATATAAATAATAGAATATTACTCAGCCATAAAAAGGATGAAATCTAGCCTACTTACTTTTGAAGTTAAAGTGCCAAAAATTTGGGGGTGCCTGGGTGGCTCAGATGGTTAAGCATCTGCCTTCGGCTCAGGTCATGATCCTGGGGTCCTGGGATCGAGCCCCACATCAGGCTCCTGGCTCAGCGGGGAGCCTGCTTCTCCCTCTCCCTCTGCCTCTCCCCCTGCTCATGCTCTCTCTCTCTCTCTCTCTCTCTGTATCTGTGTGTCTCAAATGAATAAATAAAATCTTTAAAAAAAAGGTGCCAAAAATTTGTCAAATGCAGAGAAAGCCATTTAAAGAATTAGATTAAGAAGTTGGAGAGTGTCCCTCTCATCTACCCCTTAAACATATCCCCTGCCTCCTCTTCATTAGTATTTACTGGTTTGCTAATTTGTACATTAATACTTTACCAGATGATTAAAAAAAGTTCCTAAGTAATTTACTGTATAATAAGGGAACCACAAATAACTTCCAAAAGGTACAGAGAAATCAAAAGAAAGTGAGGCTTAAAGATGTAGCCATGGGATTTATCAAAGTGGAGCCAGTAGGTGGAATGTGGGAGTGAGGAGACCGTCAGAGATTGCAAATAAAGCCTCATTGTATGTGCTGAGGAAGAGGAGGTAAAGTAGAACTTAGATATGAAGGCTGAGGATTAGGAGAGTGCAGGGCCAGAAAACCAAGGCCTAATTATCAAAAAGGTCAGCAGTGGCACATATCTGTGAAAACAGGAGGATAAAGAGCCACCAAAGGCTGTTGCATTTTACGTGTCGTCTTCAAGGACCTTAAAGGTTCATTGAGCAGAAGTGAGATTACAAACGAAAGGCACCAAATAATTATTCTTCATTTGAAATGTGAGGGATAAAGAATAAATAGTTTTTCTTTATTAAAAAAAATACATTTCTGAGATCTTAGGGGCATGTTTCAAATATTTTAGTCATAATATATTGTGAAGTTAAATGAAGCATATATTTGTTTAAATATGATATTGAAGGGCATCTGGGTGGTTCAGTTGGTTAAGCGTCTACCTTTGGTTCAGGTCATGATCTCTGGGTCCTGGGATTGAGTTCCACATTGGACTCCCTGCTCAGTGGGGAGTTTGCTTCTCCCTCTACCCCTCCCCCCCGCTTGTGATCTCTCACTCTCTCAAATAAATAAAACTTTTTTTATTTAAAGATTTTTATTTATTGAGAGAGAGAGAGAATGGTAGAGAGAGAGCATGAGAGGGAAGAAGGTCAGAGGGAGAGACAGACTCCCCGCTGAGCAGGGAGCCCGACGTGGGACTCGATCCCAGGACTCCAGGATCATGACCTGAGCGAAAGGCAGCCGCCCAACCAACTGAACCATCCAGGCACCCTAAATAAATAAAACTTTAAAAAAATAAAAAATAAATATGATATTGAGCATTTTATAAACTTTATGTATGTAGGAAAAGAGGGAATAGAAGTCACATTTTTCTTGCTTAAAGAAAATTTGCAATTTGGTAGAAGTAAATCTTGTTGTTTTTGGAAATACTATATAGCACTATTCTTTTTAACTTTAAAAGTTTATAAATATTGGGTTGCCTGGGTGGCTCAATCAGTTGAGCGTTGGACTCTTGGTTTCGGCTCAGGTCATGATCTCAGGGTCGTGGGATCAAGCCCCATGTTGGGCTCTGCACTCAGCACGGAGTCTGCTTGAGATTCTCTCCCTCCCTGTCCCCCTCAAAATAAATAAATAAATCTTTTAAAAAGGTTTATAAATATTTAGTAAAATATAAGAAAATGCAAACTTGTATCAACTAGAGAAAATCACAGGATTGCACCGTGCAAACTGCACTGTATCATGGATAAGTTTCCTTATTTGTAAACATGAATCTGGATCACAATTTTTAGTTTCTTAGTATTCTGTCATATGGACTTTTTCAGGTACTTAACCAAAATCCCAATGATAAATATGGAGATTATCTTTAAAAATTTGCTATTAAAAATACAGCTTTACCACTTCACAGCTACTAAGATGGCTATAATTGTTAGCAAGGATGTGGAGAAGCTAGAACCCTCATACACTGCTGGTGGGAATGTAAGGTGGGGCAGCTATTCTGTTTGACAGTTTCTCAAAAGGTTAAACATAGAGTTACCATTTTACCCAGGAATTATACTCCTAGGTATTTACACAAGAAAATCAAATGTCCCCAGAAAAACTTGTACATGACTGTTCATTTCAGCATTATTCACAATAGCCAAAAAATAGAAACAACTCAAATGTACATTAGCTGATGAACAGAAAAATAAAATATGATATAGCCATACAATGTAATATTATTTGTCACTAGAAAGGAGTGAAGTACTAATATACACCACAATATGGATGACCCTTGAAAACATATGTTAAGTAAAAGAAGCCAGACACAGAAGACTATATATTGTATGATTCCATTTATATAAAATGTCCAGAACAGGCAAGTCTGTAGAGATACAAAGTAGATTAGTTGTTGCCTAGGGCTGGTGAGATTGGGGGCAATGGGAAGTTACTGCTGAAGGATATAGCTTTCTTTTCAAGATGATGAAAATGTTCTAAACTTGACTGTGGTGATGGTTGCACAACTGTGTAAATATACTAAAAATCACTGAATTATGTTCTCTAAATGAGTGAATTGTATGGAGTGTAATTTGTATCTCAATAAAGCTGTTAGAAAAGAACATGACCTCCATTACTCTCTTAATTATACCCTTCTCTGATTTTTAAAAATTATTTTTAATTACAAAAGGTATATATACATACATTCTTCCTTTCTAAAAACAGGTATTACATTGATTGATTGGCCATCTATATGTCTTCTTTGGAAAAATGTCTATTTAGGTCCTCTGCCCATTTTTTAATCGTTTTTAATCGTTTGTGGGGATTTTTGGTGTTGAATTGTATGTTGTTTAAAGATTTTTTTTTTTAATTTGAGAGAGAGCAGAGTGAGCGAGAGAGAACACAGTGGGGGGAGGGGCGGAGGAAGAGGGAGAAGCAGTCTCCGCACTGAGCAGGGAGCCCAATGCGGGACTCCATCCCATGACCCTGGGATCATGACCTGAGCCAAAGGTGGACGCTTAACTGACTGAACCACCCAGATTCCCCATCCACCAATCTACTTTCTATTCGTATGAGTTCAGCTTTTTAGATTTCACATATAAATGAGATCACTTTCTCTGTATGACTTATTTCACTATGCATAATGCCCTCAAGGTTCATCCATGTTGTCACAAATGGCAGGATTTCCTTCTTTTTTATGGCTGAATATAAACACCACCTTTTCTTTATCCATTCATGTGTCAGGGGACACATAAGTTGTTCCATGTCTTGGCTATTGCAACTAATGCTACAATGAACATGGGGGTACAGATATCTCTTCAAGATAGTGATTTCATTTCCTTTGGATACATACTCAGAAGTAGGATGATTGGATCATATAGCAGTTCAATTTTTAATTATTTGAGGAACCTCAATACTGTTTTCCGCAGTGGTTGTAATAATTTACATTCCCACCAACATTGTACAAGGGTTCCCTTTTCTCCACATCCTGGCCAGCACTTATTGCCTGTCATTTTGATAATAGCCATTCTGTCAGGCATGAGGTGATATCTCATTGTGGTTTTGATTTGCATGTCCCTAATGATTAGTGATGTTGAGTACATTTTCATGGACTCAGCCATTTGTACGTCTTCTTTGGAAAAAATGTCTAGTCAGGTCCTTTTCCCATTTCTTAATCACACTATTTTTTTGCTGTTGAGTTGTATGCGTTCCTTATATGTTTCAGATATTAAACCCTTATCAGATACATGGTTTGCAAATATTTTCTCCCTATATGAGAAATCATTTATGCTTGGGATTATCAGCAGTGGACATTAAGAGAAGAGAAAAAAAATCAAAGACCTATTTAAGAGCTAGGCAAGATTTTCTGAATGTTGAAGAAGTTGATGCTAGAATAATGTTTACCCTTTGGCCTATGCTTCTCAGCCTGGCACTACTCTGATGTCTTCAAAATAGTTTGCCTTATCCAATTTCATCATTTTTGTGAAAATATTTTTTCCTTATTACAATTAACACTTATTAAAATAGCATTTATTTTTTAGGGACTTTACCCAAATTATTCTCTTCTTTTTATTATAGAAATTTTCAAATATTTGCAAAAGTAAAGAGAATAATACAATAATGTACCTATCACCGAGCTTCAGACAGTTTCCATTATTTTCCCAATCTCACCCTAAATTACTCTTAATTTTAGCAATTACCTTATGTTAGGTGTTACTATCATTTTACAGATATGGAAGTGGGACTTAGAGATTGTAAGTAATTCTTCCAATGACACAATTCTTGTAATTAACAGAGCCGAGACTTGAAATCCAGTCTCTGTGATACAGTTCCTTGGATCTTCCCTCTACACCACTTTGCATTTTATTCTGTCATGCTATCTGAAGGTTGCTTTCACTTCAGACTGTCAGTGGCTATTGCCATCGGTGAGTCTACTTGTTTCTTTTCCTTGGTGAGCATCTTTACATGCCAAGCAAATTAATGGTATTTTACACAGTCTCTACTCTAGATATAAAAACTACCTCCTTGTCATCTGCTCATAGCAGACTCATTGAGCCCTTTGAACTTTCCCCAGGATATTTTCCACTTTGAAATGCCATCGTCTTGCTTCATCAACTAACACCCAACACTCTTTTTATTACAGAATTTCTGGCTTACTAGCCACCAAGACACCCTTTGTCCTGTTGGCGGGTGTCCTCTAGTTTCCCCACATCAGCAAATCTATATGTTCATAATCACATGAAACTTAAGTTATATAATTTTGCTATAATGCATAGAACATCATAAAGATTCTTTTAAAATAATGATTATGGAACCTAATTGTTTTCCCTATTAACTTCCTGATATTTTCCTATATCCCCATTCTAATTCCTTTTCCTTAACCCTCACCATTCAATAGTTACTTATTGGACACCTGTTATATGTGTGTGTGTGTGTGTGTATATATATATATATGATAGATATTGTGCTAAAAAGCTGATTAGATAATAGTGAAACAAACATGGTGCCTTCCAATAGGAATCTTATAGCATAGAAATGTAGAAAATGAGAAAATGAGAAAAATAAATGAGGGAAAAATTATGAAGATTATGGTTAATCATCCCGGACTAGAATAAGATTTGGTGTTGTCTGACGCTGTTTGAGAGGAGGGATTTTCAGTGTTATTTGTAATTATATTTACACTGAGAGCAGAAGGATGAGAAGGGGCCAGCCATACAAAGACAGTACCTGCCAGAACAGCAATGCAAATCACGCTAATGTAGAAAAGTTTTTTATCTGCTTTTGGAACAGAGCATAGTGAACTGGGGAAGAGCATGGTTCAGTGATATGTTAGCTAGGGCCAGCTCATGACATCACCTTAGGGTTAATGTTAAGTTATTCAAATGTTATACTAAGTGCAAAAGAAAACCTTAGTGATTTTCCACTTTCAGATTACATCAGAATCACTAGAGATCTTTCTTAAAGTCAAGGCCTGTTCCTGTAGATTTTGATTCAATTGCTTTGAAGTGATACTTCTACCATTTGTATTTTTAACAAGCTTACCAGTAATTCTGATCTGAAGCAACATTTTAGAAACAATTAACCTGCTTCTTTAATCACCTTCTTTGTCCACCTTCACCTTCCATGGTTATATTTGAGATCTTTCCAAGCCATCAATTTCTTATAAGTATTGTGTTAATATCCCTATTTCAGAAATTTTGTTCTTCCAGGAACTGGAAAAAATGCATGTTTTCTTTCTCTCTCACTGCTCAGATGTGAAATCCCAATGTGCAACAAAGGAGTTATCATCAAAGGATGACAATTATGAAATGAAGTTATCTCAAAGGAAGAAAATGGAAAGACTTACAAGCCATGACTTTGGATGTTCCATTTTTCAAGATGATTGGAAGTATAATCATCATTTTCAGACAGAACAGAGAAATCAAGAAGAATATCTTAAAGCTGTGACAGTCACCCATGAAAATATGCAAAGTCTCAGTCAACGAATATCCTATAGTCTACATCAGATATATCATACTGGGCAAAAACCCTATGAATGCAGAGAATGTGGGAAAGTCTTCAATTACCACTCGCTGCTAATTCACCATGGGAGAAATCACACCAAAGAAAAATGCTATGAATGTAAGGATTGTGGAAAGGCTTTTAGCAGTTGCTCAAAATTTACTGGACATCAGAGAATTCATAATGGAGAAAAACTCTATGAATGTAATGAGTGTGGGAAAGCTTTCCACCACCCCTCAAATCTCATTCGACATCAGAGAATTCATAGTGGAGAAAGACCCTATGAATGTAAAGAATGTGGAAAGGCTTTTAGTCGTGGCTCACACCTTACTCTACACCAGAGAATTCATACTGGAGAAAACCCTATGAATGCAAAGAATGTAGAAAAGCTTTCAGTTACCACTCATCCCTCATTCGACATGAAAAAACACATACTAAAGAAAAACACTATGAATGTAAAGAATGTGGGAAGGCTTTTAGCAACAGCTCAGTTCTTACGGGACATCAGAGATTTCACAGTGGAGAAAGACCCTATGAATGTGGGGAATGTGGGAAAGCCTTCCATCACCACTCAATCCTTATTCAACATCAGAGAATTCACACTGGAGAAAGACCCTATGAATGTAACAATTGTAATAAAGCCTTCCATTATCATTCAGATCTTACCGGACATCAAAAAATTCATTCCAGAGCAAAACTCTTTTAGAGTGTAAGGAATGTAGACAGTCCTTTAGTCATAACAGAGAACTTTCACACCATCAACGAATTCATACTGGTGAAAAACTTTATGAATGTAAGGAATGTGGCAAATCTTTTGGTCAAGGAGCACAACTTATTCATCATCAGATAATTCACACTGGTGAGAAACCCTATGAATGTAAGGAGTGTGGGAAGGCCTTTATCCGTGGTTTGTGTCTTACTAGACATGAGAAAATTCATATTAGAGAAAGAAAATCTCTAGTATTGTAATGAATATAGACAATCCTTTGCTTCTAAGTAATCTCTTATGGGACATCAGATAATTACTAGATGAGAACTCTGAATGCAGCAAGTATAGGAAGGTCTTTTGCTTTATTTTATAATTTGCATCAGAGAATTCATGCAGGAGAAAGGTCACATGAATGTAATATATAATAAATTTTTATTTATCTTAATTCTTACTTACCATGTCAATGATTTATATTAGCATGAAATTATACTCATGTAAATAATGTGGAAAACTTAGTTTGTACTTTATTGTAATTAGTGGATTTATGATAAAGACAGTCTCTTTAATGAATGTAACAAATGTAGGAAACCATTACAAAGATTTTACTTAACTTTAGGGCATTATAAAAACATTCTTTAATATGAAAAATATGGGGAAGTCATCGGTAACCACTTATCTTTTATTGAACATAAAAAAAAAGCCACCCCACTTTGACAGAAAGGCAGTAGAATGATAAATCAAGTAAAAAAGTTGAGCTAAAACAAAATACACTATTAACTTGGTAATTTAAGGAAGAAACTAAAAGTTCAAAATATAGAATCTTTAGTAGTGAATGATATTGAGAGTACTACATATCAAATGCTGTGTAATGTGACCCAAAGCTGTACTGATAGAAAAATGTATATCCTTTGATACATGCATATAATTTAATAAACAGAAAAATAAACTACATGTAAAACACAGGAAGGTAGAAAGCAAATAAAATAACTTTCAAAACAAGAGAAGATAAGAATTAATAAATGTAGAGATTAAATCGAGTCAACACTAGTCTAGATTTAGTCCATAATCCAGAAGTGTTCTTTCTAGAGGTCAGAATATGGGTGTGGTCCAGAAAAAAAAATTGAAAACTAAAGACATTATGAATGAGGAATTTTATATAACTATATAAACTGGGATTCTTTTTAAACATTCTACTACTTTATACCAGTAAGTTTGAACATCTAGAGCAGGATTTTCACACTGTTGACATTTTGGATCAGATAACTCTTTGTTGTGAGGGGCTAGCCTGTGTAGTGTAGGGTGTTTATAGTAGCATCCCTGTCCTCTGCTCACTAGATGTCAGTATTATCCCCTTCCCTCTAATTGTGATGAACAAGAATGTTTTCAGACATTTAAATGTCTGGGGTGGAGGACAGTGTAAAATTGCCCCCAGTTGGCAATTACTGATCTACATGAAATTAATCATTATCTAAGAAATAACCTAATTTTATTCAGGAAGAAGTAGAAAACCTGAATAAAACATAACCAACAGGAAAAAAATGTTAAAATATTTAAAGATATAGCCCCTTAAAAGTTCCCCAAGGACCAGGTGTTTTTAAGAACACGGCATGCTGGGGTGCCTGTGTGGTGCAGTTGATCGGAAGACCAACTCTGGGTTTCAGCTCAGGTTGTGATCTCTGGGTCCTGGGGTTGGGCCCACCTCTAGCCCTGAGTCAGGCTCCTATTCAGGGTGGAGTCTGTACTCAGTGTGGAGTCTTCTTGTCCCTCTCCCTCCCCCTCTGCCCTGCCCCCCATTTGCATGTACTCTTTCTCTCTCTCAAATGAATGAATAAATCTTAAAAAAAAAAAAAAGAATACAGTGTGCCAGTCCTTCAAGTAATAGATAATTTATATATTATATAAATTCTTCCAGAGCCTGGGGGGTAAAAATAGAATGCTTACCAACTTACATAAGAGGTTACTAAAACTTTGATACTTAAATGGGACAAGAATATGTTATGGTTTGAATTATGTCCCCCCAGAATTCATGTTGAGGCCCAAACCCCCAATACCTCAAAATGTGACTGTTTGGAGACAGGGCTATTAAAGAGATGATTAAATTACAATGAGTCCCTTAGCATGGAACCTAATCCAATCTGACCGGTGTCCTTATAAGAGGAAATTTGGACACACAAAGAGACACCAGGACTACACATACACAAACGAAAAGACCACGTGAAGACCTAGTCTTGGAAGAAACCAAACCTTGATCTTGGACTTCTAGCCTCCATAACTATGATCAAATAAATTTCTGTTAAGTTACCCAGTGTGTGATATTTGTTATGGCAACCCTAGCAAGCTAATACAGAGTACATAATGAACATTAAAAGCCAATGTAAAGGAGTTTTACGTCTTTATTTGTAAAGAGATATAAAAATCCTAATTAAGAAATCAAACCTAACACTGTATTAGAGTATTACTACCATATAAGATAATTTACTCAAATTGTCCAAGACCTAACCTGCTTTCAATTAATGATATATCCAGGGTCTGTATATTCCCAAATTCAAGAAAACACAGTAATTTTCAAAAGGCATGATACAGCCCCAACTTCTGGATTCAGCTATTGTATATTTATATGGTCTAAAGAGTTGCAATGCATGTTTACTTGCACAATTTAAACTCAAATTTTGAAGTATTACAATAACTAGAATATACAATATTTTTATTTATTTCTTTTTTAAAGATTTTATTTATCTATTTAACAGAGAGAGACACAGCAAGAGAAGGAACACAAGCAGGAGGAGTGGGAGAGGGAGAAGCAGGCTTCCCGCTGAGCAGGGAGCCCGATGTGGGGCTCGATCCCAGAACCCTGGGATCGTGACCTGAGCCGAAGGCAGACGCTCAACGACTGAGCCACCCAGGCAATCCTAGAATATATAGTATTTTTAAATCTGGTAAGCCAAGTCCCCCACCACAGTTTTTTCTTTTTCTGCCTACTCCCATGTATTTGTTCTCCTATTGCTTAGAATTATATCAACTATTTCTATTAATTGAATTTTTATTCTATTAAAACTTTCCATCAAGGAACATGGTCTTTCACACTGATTTTTCTTATGATATTCCCTTTAATAAAATTTTGTAGTATTGCATATGAATCTCATTGCTTTCTTATTCTGATTTATTCTTTTTTTTAAAGATTTTGTTTTGGGGGCACCTGGGTGGCTGTCGTTGAGCATCTGCTCAACAGGTGAATGGATAAAGATGTCGTCCATATATACAATGGAATATTACTCAGCCATCAGAAAGGATGAATACCCAACTTTTACATCAACATGGATGGGACTGGAGGAGATTATGCTAAGTGAAATAAGTCAAACAGAGAAAGACAATTATATGGTTTCACTTATTTGTGGAACATAAGGAATAGCAGGGAGGACATTAGGAGAAGGAAGGGAAAAATGAAGGGGGGGAATCAGAGGGAGAGATGAACCATGAGAGACTATGGAGAAACAAACTGAGGGTTTTAGAGGGGAGGGGGTGGTGGGATAGGTTAGCCCGGTGATGCGTATTAAGGAGGGCACTTACTGCATGGAGCACTGGGTGTTATATGAAAACAATGAATCGTGGATCACTACATCAAAAACTAATGATGTATTGCATGGTGACTAATATAACATAATAAAATAAAATTTTAAAAAATAAATTTAAAAAATTAAAAAATTAAAGATTGAAAGAAAAAAAAAGATCCATGTGCTCTACTGACTGAGCCAGCCAGGTGCCCTTTGTTCAGATTTATTCTTGTGTTTCATGACTTTGGGACTAGATATATATTTTTTATTCATTTTTAACTGGTTACAGCTAATATAGAAAATAGTGTTAATTTTTATATCTGTGTCTTATATCCATCATACCAAATGTTTTCCTAGAGTGTCTTCGTTTATCCAGATGTACAAATATATGATTTAAATAGAAATAATTCTGACTCTACCTTTCCAGTGTTCACATCAATTATTTTCTAGCCCTGTTGATTGGTTTACATTTCTTTTTTTTCTTTTTAAAGATTTTATTTATTTTTTGACAGAGAGAGAGACAGTGAGAGAAGGAACACAGTCAGGGGGAGTGGGAGAGGGAGAAGCAGGCCTCCCGCAGAGCTGGGAGCCTGATGGCGGGGCTCGATCCCAGGACCCCGGGATCATGACCTGAGCCGAAGGCAGACGCTTAGCGACTGAGCCACCCAGGCGCCCCATACATTTCTAAAACCATGTTAAATAACTTCAATAAGTGTACATGTCCTCATCTCTTTCCTGATATAAACGGATATGACTTCAGTATTTCAATGAGGAGCATATTACCCATGGGGTTTGGTAGACAGCTTTGGTCATAGTAAAGTTTGGCCTTTCTATCTTTATATTAATTTTATTAGAAATGACAACTAAGTTTATCATGCCTTTTGGAGGTAATCATATAATTTTTATCCTTTAACTTACTGAGTAATAAAGTATTTCCTGGTATTACAATATGCTTTATTACAACATAAATTCTATTTTGCTATAGTATGAAAGCAAAATATCCCATGTGTTAAGTTTTAAGACAAAGACTCTTGTAGAGTGGGGCGCCTGGGTGGCTCAGTCGTTGAGCGTCTGCCTTTGGCTCAGGTCATGATCCCAGGATCCTGGGATCGAGCCCTGCGTTGGGCTCCCTGCTCAGCGGGAAGCCTGCTTCTCCCTCTCCCGCTCCCCCTGCTTGTGTTTCCCTTTCTCGCTGTGTGTCTCTCTCTGTCAAATGGATAATCTTAAAAAAAAAAAAAAAAGACTCTTGTAGAGTTAATTTTTAGCATTTTGATTGAAGGGCAAAGTTGAGGATGTAATAAATCTGAAACCTTTCTGCATGTCTAGGAAAATCCAGCTATTTATAGCTTGGGTTATGGCAGTTCCATTGCAGAAAACAGCAGTGGAGACTGACAGCTCTCTTGCTCAGGAGATAACATTGAACTGTTGGAAACCAGGCATGTACAAGAGAATGTTTACCCATGATATCACAATATATAATTAGAAAAGTGTACCAGACGGTTTGCCGAATACAATCACAAGTAGAATCTGATAACTGGGGTTCTTTGTTTTGTTTTGTTTTATCTCCAATTTGACATTTTAATATTCTTAGGCTCCAGCTTTTGCAAAAAAGTGTTTATGAATTGCTCAGAATCTCATTGCTCACAACACTGA